TACAGGATAACACCTAGGCAGCAAGCGTTCAGGCCCAGCCTGCTGGCGGAGGAGCTCCAGCCTGCATCCCATGCCTCCTGCCTACCGCTGGCTGAAGGCCAGGAATTCAGACCTGAGGGATGCAGCATTAATGATCCTGGGAGACAGGGCCCAGTCCCTTCCAGGAGGTAAGATATCAGAATGTGGTCCCTGATTACAGTTTAGGAGATAACAGGACTATGTGATCCTGCAGAGAGACTAACCTATGGTTCTCATTATAATACATACTTGACACTTATCTAACTTTTTAAGGGACCTAAACAATTTCTTCCTGACCTGTATTTCAAATGTGGGCCATTTCCCCATTAATACTCGCTCTGAGAAACCTCAACAGTGTTTCGTAAGAAGACAGAATTCTTAAGGAGTAGAAACATATTTACCAGCTAAGAAAGCAAAGAGTCAGACAAGTCCAATAACCAGCAATTCTGTGGCAAAACTGCACTAGAACTCAGAAGTCATCTCTCCTCTCCTTAGAGGGCTTGTCCCAGAAGGCTGCTTATCCCACCCCAGGGTCACTGAGGCTGTCCAAGGGGAATACAAGAAACAGGTTGCCTGGCTGGGCGTGGCTCAGCGGTTGAGCATCAGCCTAGGACCCAGGAGATTGCGGTTCGATTCCCGGTCAGGGCACATGCCCGGGTTGCAGGCTTGATCCCCAGTGGGGGGCGTGCAGGAGGCAGCCGATCAATGACTCTCTCATCATTGGCGTTTCTCTCTCTCTCCCTCTCCTTTCCTCTCTCTGAAGTCAATAAAGATATATTTTTAAAAAAGAAACAGGCTATCTGTTGACAGGCTGAGCTGACCCGAGACACCTCCCATGCAGAAGAATCAGGTGCCTGGGAGGTGCACGCTCCTCTGCCCTTCCCCTGCCTTGGAGTGGGAGTGGAGAGGGAATGTCCTACCCAAACAACTAGTGATTTTGTGACTCCTACCAGATCCTTCTGTCCTCTTTCAAACAATATAAATTATAAAACTAAAACTACATGGAGAAAAAAACGGAGGAAAAAATGGCAAAGATCCATGCCCTCTTCTGACCTCTAGTTTCCACATTTTTCCGTATTCTCTGGGAAAATGTTAAAATTACTCCCATAATCTAACTGGCTCAGGGCAGAGTCCAGCCCCAATGTGCCTCTTCCCTCCCTCAGAGAATGTCTGCTGAGCATCTCCAGGGGCTCTGTGTCAGGCACTGTGAGTCACACGAAGGTGGCTAAGGTACCCTCCCCGCCTCAAGGAATGTGAGCAGAGGAGATGAGGCACGGGCAAAAATAAGTGACGCTGGAGAGAGAAGAGTATTTGAGCCATGAGAGAAGCCCAAGCTGAGGGTGCTGGGTACACTGGGGACCAAGAGGCCACTACTCCTCTCTGCCCCTGCTTGACACCAAGCCCCAGGGCACTCAACCACCCAGATCAATATGGGCTCTTCGAAGGGCTTCCCCTTGAGAAAGAACCCAGTCAACAGTTAGTAGTAACAGCAGCAGTAATAATCATACCTTAGAGCAGTAATGAATACTTCCTATGGGCTAAGCATTTCTCATGTATTATCTCATTTCATCCTCAGAACAACTCTATAAGATACATACTACACTATCATTATTCCCCTTTTACAGATGAGAAAACTGAGACTTAAAGAAGTTTTTCGTTCATTCAACAAATATTTTGTGTGTGTGTATACCATGAACGCAATAAGACTCTAGCAGCGACCTTATGACAGACAAAACCCATGACTGTATTTGGTGCACACATTCTGTTGGGAGATAAATAATTTGCTCAAGGTCACTCAGTCTGTCAAAGCAGTGGAGCCAGGATTCAAACTCAGCCACTCTGACTGTGGAACCTATACTTTTAAACTCCCAATGAGCAAACTGCCTGGGCCCGGCCATTGTCATTTCTGACCATCATTAACAGTAAAATGCCACATTTCATCTATTCTAAGATGCATAGTTTTTTCACATTTTAATATGTGAAATCTGGCTATATTTTACAATATAAATTGAAAGAAACCTGTATGCTGTAGACAAAGGGGTAAGTCATGATGTAGCTAATATTGCTGTTCAAGTGCAGATTTAGCTGAATACAGATTATTTGATTACTGATTCAGCTGGGTTTTATGCGAATGTTAACATTAAACGCAGTTGGATTTTAGCTTAAATTAAGGCCCCTGATATTATTTCAAATGCACTCCAATAAGTTCCCTATAACGCAATATTGAAAGAAAAAGCTATTGTGCGTGCTGGAGACTGCCTCCATATGCAATTTAATTAAAGGGAGTAGAAATCACCAAATCTACTGGAACAGATCACAGAATTTCCAAAAGACTAGCATCCAAATAATGAACATCTAATTGTCAAAGGCTTCCAGACATTTAACTTCCAGTGACATGTGCTCAGTTAAGGGGAAATAAAACTATGGGTTTCACCAAAGAGAAAATGCAGGCCAAATCCCACTGTACGTTGACAAGCCAACCTTAAAAGTACCAAAGGGGTCAAGAGCATGAGTAGTCTATTTTCTGAAAAGCAGCACATAACTCTGAAGTGACTCAAAACTTCTGAGAACCAAATATGATACGCAACTTCACTAATGTGAAAAACTCCTACACTCCAAACTCTGATTCTAGAGACCGAGCAGCTCGTATGCAAGCCTGTGAATAAGAGCCACCACTGACAGTTTTTAAGTGTGTAGATTTAATGTCATGCTTCTTTGTTTCTGGAAATATGCAATTAATTTCATGGATTATTTTACCATTAGCAATAGTGTCTCAAAATTATGGTAATCACAATGACAAATGCCATTTCTTGAGCACTTGCCAAACACTATATTTGCTATTTTATACCCATTATGTCTAATCCTCATGATAACTCTATAAGGGAGGTACTCATATATTCCCATTTTATATGTAAGAAAACTAAGGTTCAAAGAGACCTGTAACTTCTCAAGGTCATACAGCCCAGTTAGCACCAAGCCAAGCATAGAACCAGTTGCTTTTCCCTGCTAGCAACCCTGCGCCACCCCTGCCCAGGCACAGCAAGCACAGGTAAGTCCTCACCTGAAGAAAACTACCATGATCCCAGAGCAGGATGGACCAGCATGAATTCAAGGTAGCAGGGTCTCCCTTCTCAACCCAAATGCCCCCAAGTTGATCCAAATCCTGCTATTTTATGACTGCTTCCATTTTTTCAAACTACATTTGAGGACATGCTCAACAGGCCCCAAACTGGCCAACTGCCCCAACATTCACATAGCCAATCAACTAACTAGTCCATTCCTTCAAACTGTGCCAATTTGGTAGCACAATCCAGAGAAGACATTAAACAGGTTTGGCAAGAACAGAGGGAGTCCACTCTGTAGCTGAGGCTGGGGCAGGAAGGAGCCTTTGGCCTGGCATGAGGCATTCTTTTCATACCAATTAATGGAAGCAGAGGCCTCCCTGAGCCTAAGGAAGTCTAGATTACTGTGCCAGTCGCCTTCTCTGAAGCCTCAGGGCAGCTCACAGATCAATAAAAAACTGCTTTTTTCTTGATCAAACTCCTGCAGGACAACAGGCATTGTGAATTTCACACCATATGTCTCTGGACTTATGCTTTTGGACTCGGTCTTACCTCCAATGTAAAATCCTTTTCGAGGGCTTTTCCTTAAATATTCCCTCAGGAACGGACCTCAAGCTTGGTTGCTAAGAGTGGACTAGGATAATTCAAGAAACATGTATTGAGCATCTCTAAGGATACAAACATGAATAAAATGTGGCCCCTACCATCAAGGAACTCACGGTTGAGGGAAGGAGGAAAGACCAGGTCAGACCTAACTTCAATGAAAAGCAAAACAGGATGAGTGTTATCTTGGAACACAGAATAGAAAGAACTTAATTCCAGGCGCAAGATCAGTAAGAAACTCAGCTAACACTGACGGAACACCTACTAGGGACCAGATGTGATGCCAGGCACTTTACAAACCTCATGCCATTTAATTTCCACAACCACCCCATGGAATACATCCTATTAGAATCTTCACTTTATAAATGAGGAAACAGAGAGAGAAGCAAAGTATCTTACCCCAGGTCATACAAGTAATTTGTACATACTAGAGATGAGACTTGGGCCCGACTGGCCAACACCAAAGCTTATGATATTTTCAGTGCAAAAGACTACATCCCTGGAGTAAAGAAATCCTTCCCGGTGACAGCAGAATCTGAGCTGGTTTGGGATGCAACCAGGTGATGAGGGACGGGCAGAATACCCCACTCGGAGGGTCAGTGAGAGGGAAGGACTGGAAGTAGGAGCGACGAGCAGTCCCCTCACCGGTCAGCTCGAGCAGGGGGCAGAAGGAAATGTGTGGTCAATGAGTTCGGGGGCTGGGTGTCAAGAGCCCTGGGTTCTAGTCCTTGCATGGCCACTGACTAACTGTGTGACCTTCAGCAGTTCCTATCCCCTCTCTGGGCTTCAGTTTCATCATCAGAGAGAATTCCAAACCCCTGTTGGATTAGATATTCCCAAAAGGTCTGCTCTGGCATAAATGCTCAATGATACTCACAAGAGGCCAGGTGACACAGTGGTTAACACCTGGTGACAAGTAGACACCAGCTCTGCAGTGACCAACTGAGTGACCTTGGATAAGCTAATTAACTCCTGAGTCTCACTTTTCCTCATCTGTAATGTGGGGACAACAGCGATGCCTGCTTCACAGCGCCATGGTGAAGGCTGAGTGACATGAAGAACATAGAGCACTTAGCAAAGTGCTTGGCAAACTGAAAGTGTTCAGCAAATGAAGGCAGCTTTGTCACCACCATCATCACCACCATTATTTCTTCTTTAAAGGGTCGAAAGTGAAGTTAGTGTTCGAGGATCAGAGGCCTTTTTTTTTTTTTTAAGAGACAAAAAATAAGTTCTCAGAAAAGGTCTCACTAAACCACAAGCCCCTCCCATGGCCACCTCACACACGATTCTCCTGTTTCACCAGGGGCCCCCCCATACCTTCTCTTCTGACGAAACAGTCAGCTTGTCACTGGATATCAAGTTGCACACCTGGTCCAGACTTAGGCTAAGAAATTCTTCCCCCAGCATCACCTCAGGAAAATGCTGCTCTGTTCCAAAAAAAAAAAAAGCAGAAATTCAGAAAACAAAGTTATAAAACAGTCTTGCCCTTCCATAAGCCAAGGCCATGACAATGACAATATGTGGGATTCAGAGTGGAGTCCTAGGGGCTCTGAGAGGCAGGGAGAAAGATAGCACATCCTGGCTGGAGGGAAACTAGCCTTTTAATTCAGCAGCAAAAGCATCCCCTGTGTGATCCTCTGTCCTGAACATCGACACAGATGAAAATGGGACAGAGAGATATGAGCCTATATTTTTCCCATGCTCCATGAGATTAATTCTGATGTTGCAGAAAAGCCTCACTGGGACCTGCCTACCTAATTGAGCTCATTTCTCCTCGAGGTGCAAGCTGGCAGAATTGCAGACAGTGCCCCCTGCAGCTCAGCCAACCAAAAGTGGGTCAGAACTGCTGTGTGGCTGGAAGTCTCTGGGGTTCTGGTAGAAAGTCAACATTAGAAGGCTGGCAGAAGGAGTCATCCTTTCTTGTCCAAAGTCAAGTCTACTATGGAGCCTCTGGTTCACAAGAAGGCCCAACCAAGGATCCGTGCCAGTGTGGTGGCAACACACTTGGCCCCACCACCGTTGGGAAAAATCCATGACAGCTGGCCTGTGGAGGGAAATTTGGGGACAGCTAGAGCAAGACAGGCTTAAGGTCCACGCAAGGGAAATGCCAAGGACAACTCCTACCCTGACACTTGCCCAGCCATCATCCTGCTATTACAAAGGCAGTAAAATGTCAGTGAAAGAGCATGCATTTCAGAAAGAAGGAACCTAGATTCAAATCCTGGCCTTGCCATTTGTGAATTGTTTCCTTGAGCCAATGGCATCGCCTCCCTGGGCCTCACTATCCTCATCTGTGAAATGGGAATAAAACCACTTGTCTTGCCTCCCTCCCATGCTCTGGTGGGAAAGGAACTGTGAAAGTGTTTTGCAAGCTATGCCAAGGTGAACTGGCCTACAGGCTGGCAGTTTCTGGTGCAGTAGGGCCTGGAGATGACAGATCGCTTATTGTTTGGCCCAGTTCTTGCTCCTTTGTCAGTTCTCTCACAACCCTGCACCATCATCGCCTTAAGGAGCGCCTGTGCCCCTTGCCCTCCAGGCCTTCCCTCCTCCCCTTCTTTGGTGGCGCCTTTCTGGCCTGGTAGCTGCTGGAGGGCTACACCTCCAATTCCCACTCAGGGATACCCCCACTTGACCTGGCCAGCCCCCCGAGTGAGATTCGGATACCCTCCCCCCTGGGAGATGCTGGAGCATCAAATTAGAGCATGAGAAGCCCCCTCCCGTTCATCCGTCTCTTAAAACCCAAACAAAAGAGTTAAACCATTTCTTGCAAAAATCATTCTAAATTTTATGTTGAAATAATTCAGGCCCAAAGAATTCCCATATACCCTTCTCCAAACTCCCTAAATGTTAATATTTTACTCTCAAAGATCAGGTTATAAACATCTTTTCCATCTTTCACTGGACAAAAAGGGTTCCCCATCTGCTCCCCACTAGCCTAATGATATCACTGATCTCACAATTAAAGCTTGTCCATCCTGAGGTTTGGGGATGTTTGCACATAAAACAGATTTAAAGTCAGATTCTTTATGAAGGTAAGCAACTGTCATAAGGTAAGAAGCTGCTCTGGCTTCTCCATATGTCAACAGGGAAAAGCCTTCAGTTTAAAGCTTAGATTTTAGGTGAAACATGCAAAAGACCTCCCTAACTATGGGAATTTTTAAGACTAGATAGTATTATTTTTAAAGTGCCCATTCTTAAAGATTTTAAAATAAAAGCAAGTGGATAATCTTCTCTGGGTGATGGGAATCCACTCGGGCCTGGAGGCTGGGAAAGTAACATGACTCTCTCTCCAAGCCTTTCTGGTCTGAGAAGTCTTTAACCAGAGTCCTTCGTTTGTTGGTAACACAAGAAAAGAGCAGAGAGAAAAAGCCTTTGGCACAACACGACTAAGCGCAGGACACCAAGGCTCAGCTCAGCAGGAGAGTCAGGTGAACCAGCGCCAACATCCCTGTGGCCCAGAGCCACGCCCAGCCTTTCTGCCCTGATCTTTGGTTGACCCCAAACCTGACACTGGGAAGAGGGAAGAGGGAAGAGAATGGGAGGTGAGAAAGTAGAATTCTGGGTTGTGAAAAACTCCTCCTCATGGCTCATAAAGCTGAAAGTAGGTGGGTGGGATTTTGAAAAGGAAGAAAGGGGAGGTGCCGTGATGCATACTCCAGGTGGCTTGGTGAACAAACCAAAAATCCTCAGATAAATCAAGGCAGAAAGTAGTCAGCCCCACACACCTTCCCATCTCTCCCCCTCTAGGACATTGTAGAATTTGAACCCAGGTCCCTTTCTGATGCGGGCTGCGGCTTTGCCCTTCTGGATCCTCCCCATGAAATCCCTACAGAAAGCCTCCCAGGAAGCAGCACTGGGTGGGGTGGAGGCAACCAGGGAGTCAATGAGCAGCAGCTTTTGGCTCGGGGCTGGCACCCCAGAACCCAGGAGATTTGCAGGGCGTGAGCAGGAAGAGACAAAGAGAGGGAGCAAAGAGGAAAACTTCCCTTTCCCCCTTCAGTCTGAAGAGACAAGGGCTAAGCCCCCAGAGGTGGGGGACTGGAGTTCTCTTTCTGTTAGCAACACTCAAGAAACAACGGGCTAGAAAAAACAGGGAAAGGATGCTCTGCCCAACTCCATTTCCCGGGAAATAGGAGTTGCCCAGAGGCTTTGTACTCACGCCAGCCCCTTGCCAGCTGCTTCCAGAAAGAACCCACTCAGCTCCCAGAAAGACACCTCCCTAAGGATCAGCTTCTCCCTTTAACACTTGTTGGTTGGTTTCGGAACTTTTTGTTTCTTTTGCTCTGTTGTTAATGTATTGAGGGGGAATGTAGGGAAGAGCTTTGGCTAAGAGTCAGGAGACCTAGGCCCAAGTCCTAGCTCCACCTCTTACAGTCACTTCTTTCCAGGCTTGGGCTTCATCCATACAATAGACCATAACACCTGCCCTAGGTCTCAAGGTTGTTGTGAAGTTCGAAGACGATAATATTAGTCCATTTTGAAATCTTTAAGAGACTCTTCAGAAATGAAGGATGAATACTGTCAGCCCACGTTCCTGCTTCGCAAAGTCCAGTTCTAACAGAGAAGCTGCTCCCCTGGGACTGCAGGACCTGCGGACAAGCGTGCGGGCTTCAAAGGTCTTAGAAACCCACTTTAATTCCATTGAGTTAAGAAAACTTTCTAGGGATATAAGTTTGTTACTTTCTTAATGCTGCCGTTTTCTCATCTGTTAAATGAATCTAACAACGGTATCTATCTCACAAAGGTGTGGGGGGTGTTAAATAAGCAAATATAGGTAACTCACATTCACTGAGACCACTGCAAGTGCTCAATAACTGTTAGTGTGTAATATGCCAAATGCAGTGTTTCCTCAAAAAGGAAGAAAGCAGAGCAGATGCCTACACGGACCTTATAAGAGGGGAAGGCAGGGTACCAATAATTCCACCCCAAAGTCCACAGGGCCATGACTGGAAGAGGCACTCCAAATACAAGTAACAGCATGGAAGCAGGAGAGTTCAGAGAACGTCAGCAGCAGCAATAGTTCTGTCCAGCTAGAGCCTAGGCCATGCCTTTATTCATCTAACAAGTGTTTACCGAACACCCGCTAAGTAAGGGGGGCTGTGCCAGGCTCCAGGAGATGCAAGAGAGACGCAGGCAAGGCTAGATCTTGGGGGATAGGTGGGATGTGCAGGGGGTGTCGTATCTCCTAACCCCGGACCAGCCCCTTGAAGGGGAACTCTCCAGTAATAAATTCTAACTTTTCTTGTCTTTTTGCTTGTTTTTCCTTAAAGAGAAACAGAAACA